TGCTCCAGGCCTGCCCATGCCTCAGCTCTGTCCAGCTTGAATTAAACTGTTGTTTAGGTTAGGAAGTGTTAATGATTCCCTAACACTTCTCGGCTGTCCAATCTCAGCTCAGAATAGCTTTCTCACCAGGCACTCTTCAGGGGCTGATGGTCTGCAGGCCTCACCTGGCCCACACATGTATTTATTGTCAGCCCACAGAGGCATGTGGTTTAGGTGTTGGCTGGTTTGAGAAGTAATCTGAGCATGACATTGGCCAGGCATACACTTCATTTTGCCACAGTCTTCACTATGCCCTACTGGCCACTGTGGCCGATGTATCCTTTATGTTAGTGTTGAGCCTTTCCCGAGTAGCTCTGATGACTTCTAAAAGTCACGTTACCTCAATCTCCCTTTCTCTCTTTATGTACTTATGTGGTGACTATATATACACACTACATTTAGTAAATACACTAGGTAACTATATATAGTGCATAAACTGCGTGTGCACCAAATGTTTTAGATTAATATTCACTCCTTTTCCCTTAGAAAGCGATTCTTCCTTCTTAACACTCGGATTTATTTTTAGGATGTTTAAATCATTTGAATGATTTTGTTTAAGTCATTTAATTTAAATAATTAATTGTAAAACATTTAAACTACGTGTACTGGCTGGGAGCTGTGGCTCATGCCTGTAATCCCAGGACATCAGGAAGCTGAGGCTGTTGGTTTGCTTGAACTCAGGCGTTCAAGACCAGCCTGGGTAACATGGAGATGCCCTGCCTGGCCGGATGCCGTGGCTCACTCCTGTAATCCCAGCACTTTGGGAGGCTAAGGTGGGTGGATTACCTGAGGTCAGCAGTTTGTGACCAGCCTAGTTAACATGGTGAAACCCCCTCTCTACTAAAAGTACAAAAACCAGCTGGGTGTGGTGGTGGGCGCCTGTAATCCCAGCTACTCGGGAGGCTGAGGCACAAGAATCGCTTGAACCCGGGAGGTAGAGGTTACCGTGAGCCGAGATAGCACCACTGCACTCCAGCCTTGACGACACAGCAAGACTCTGTCAAAAAAAACAAAACAAAACAAAACAAAACAAAAACACGCTTTGCCTTTATGAAAAACACAAAAGTTAGCTGGGTGTGGTGGAACTCGCCTGTAGTCTCAGCTACTCAGGAGGCTGAGGCAGGAAGATCGCTTGAGCCCGGCAGGTTGAGGCTGCAGTGAGTTGTGATGGCACCACTAAACTACAGCCTGGGTGACAGAGTGAGATCCTGTCTCAAAAAGTAAAAATAAGAAAATAAATTATATGTACTGAATACCACACCATCCTGAGTGAAGCACATCTCACTCACCGCTGTGTATCTAACGTGAGGGTAAGGGTATCATCCCCACTCTAATAAATAAGGACACAGAGGCAGTAAAATTTTTAATAATTATCAGGTGAAATTTTTGGTAAAATTTCAATACTGTCATTGTACTTGTAAAAAATACGTATGAGCACGGTGGCTCATGCCTGTCATCCCAGCACTTTGGCAGGTTGAGGCAAGAGGATCACTTGAGTCTAGGAGTTCAAGACCAGACTAGGCAACATAGTGACACCCCAGTTCTACAAAAACTTAAAAAAAAAAAGCCAGGCATGGCATTGCACACCAATCGTGCCAGTTACTTGGGAAGCTAAAGTGTGAGGATGACTTGAGCCTGGGAGGTCGAGGCTGCAGTGAATTAATATTGTGTCACTACACCACAGCCTGGGTGACATAGAAAGTCCCTGTCTCAAAAAACAAACAAACAAAACCAAATAAAAAAAATTAAGAAGCTGATGAGCACATCTGCGTGCCAGGAGGGTGGATCCCAACTCCATGGGGCCAGAGGCTCCTGTGCAGGGCACCCTTTAAGACCCCGTCCTCTGAATTGCTTCATCTGCCTGTTCGTCTGTGTCTTTTATTATAACCTTATTGATGAACCATCAAATGTAAGTAAAGAGTTTTGCTGAGTTCTGTGACCTGCTCTAGCAAATGAATTGACCTCAAGAAGGGGGTGCTGGGAGCCCGATTTGCGGCCATTCAGTCAGAAGCGCGGTGGCTGGTATCTGACATGGGGACCGTCTGATGGGACTGGGCCCTTTAACCTGTGGGATCTGATGCTCTCTCTAGGTAGACAGGGTCAGAGTGAAATTCAATTACAGGACACCCATCTGGTGTCCTCTGGAGAATTGTTTGGTGTGTGGGATTTAGTGAGACAAGATTTTTATTTTTTGGAGACAGGGTCTCATTCTGTCACCCAGGCTGGAATGTAGTGGCACAATCATTGCTCATTGCAGCCTCGAAATCCAGGCTCAAGGACTCCTCTTGCCTCAGCCTCCAACAAACAGGGATCACAGGTGCACACCTCCAAGTCCTGCTAATTTTCATATTTTTTGTAGAGATGGGGTCTTACTATGTTGCCCAGGTGGATCCTGAACTCCTGGCCTTAAGTGATCCAAAGTGCTGAGATTACAAGTGTGAGCCACCGTGCCTGACCCAGGAAAGTGTTTAACACAAGCTCTGATACCTACTCAATGAGCAATTAGTTCAAACGTAGTTTTGACTAAAATAACTCCTGTGGAAATATATATTGCTTTCTCAAGTGTGTTCCAATTATTCTGTCTTCAATCAATTCTTCTTCCCCATTTCCCTCTCCTCCTCCACTTCCTTCACCTCCATTTCTTTATCTAACAGAGGCTTCAATTGTGAAACTTCCATTTGTGCCCCATTAAGAAATGAGCCAGAGAAAATCCCAAAGAGGCGCTCCACTCCCACCCGGACATCCCTGATCCCAAGGGGACGCTCCACTCCCACCCGGACATCCCTGATCCCAAGGGGATGCTCCACTCCCACCCGGACATCCCTGATCCCAAGGGAATCTCCACTCCCACCTGGACATTCCTGATCCCAAGGGGACGCTCCACTCCCACCCGGACATCCCTGATCCCAAGGGGACGCTCTACTCCCACCCGGACATCCCTGATCCCAAGGGGACGCTCCACTCCCACCCGGACATCCCTGATCCCAAGGGAATGCTCCACTCCCACCCAGCTTCTGGATTAAGGATTTAGGGCAACATACTTTCATCAAGGACTTCCTGATGAAATGAAGGTCACGTTTGTTCAGGACGTTCTGAAGACATTTCTGGTAGTGTACCATCTTTATAGACGTTCCTCCCTACTATGACAAATCTGTTGAGAAATTAAATGAAGGAGACACCGAGAAGCCAAACCCTTTCCGGGCTCTTTAATTTCCAAATGAAATAGTAAAGGTGAGAGCATCTTACAACCATGAAGCAATTCAGCCTGACTTTTGGTGATTACAATAAAAAGGTGGGAAAGAACTCTTAGTGTTTAATATTTCAAAACAAATTTGTATTGCATATTGACAAATTATAGTTGTATATACTTACGGGTACAAAGTGGTGTTATGAGCTTTTAAGACAATGCAGAATATTCAGCATTCTGTGCTATTGATCTAAAAAATATCAAACTTGTCCTCTGATCTCACTGAAGCTTTGTACCTTTGACTGTCCTATCTCCGCTTTCCCAGCCCTTGGCCTCTGCAGCCACCATTCCCCTCTCTGCTGCTCTGAGTTAATTGTTTTAATTCCACAAGTGAGGATATGCAGTGCTTGTCTTTCTGTGTTTGCCTTGTTTCACTTACCGTAATGTTCTACAATTCCATCCATGTTGTCACAAATAACAGATTTTTTTTTTTTTCTTTTAAGGGACTGGATAATACTCCATTGTGTGTATAAGCTACAATTTCCTTATCCATTTGTCCCTTAATGGTCACTTAGGCTGATTTCGTAACTTGGCTATTGGGAATCGTGCTGCAATGAACTAAGCAGCATGGATATCTCTTGGACCCACTGATTCCAAATTTTTAACACTGGGAAGTGGGGTTGCTGGACCTCATAGTTAATGTTCTTGTTTCACTTAATGTGGATGTCCCTCCAACTATTCTAAAGCGTGTCACAGATGATCTCAGTTGGGCTGGAGTCTTGCTTGACTTCATACTTTGCATTCTTCTGGCCTTAATGCAGTTTGGAAAGGAGCCAGTTGTTTAGAAATGTGCTCCTGCTTTTCTAAACTATGTTCAAAAAAGAGTAAGCCTCCCTTGCACTCATGGCTGTGACTCTCTGGGACTGTCCACAGTCAAGCACTGAGGATGAACAACTGAGAAGACCCTGCAGATCCCAGGCCATTCTTGATGTTAGCTTTTCCCGTATGTGATGCTGTGGCGTGGGACAGAACTGGGGAAATTTCTCATACTTGCTTCCAGTTAGAAGAGAGTTCCGTTTCAGCAGCTCAACAAAGACCTGCTGCTGATGGCCTCCTGGGTGTGACGCCTCGCTCTGGGGCTACAAGTCCAGTTTAATTCAGCAGCTTTTTCCAGCTGTATAATAGGAAATAAAACAGACATTGGAGTAATGTGGAAGAAAGAGTCACAGTCCCTGCTCTTTTGTGATTTATACCCAGTGTACCTTGCCCCAATGTGGTCTTGGGTTGGTTATTCAACGTCTCTTGTATATGTTATCTTTGTATATATCTTAGTATATTAATAGTTTAAAGCCCCAGGATAATTTCCTACATAAAGTAAGACTAGACTAAGTCCCCTTTTTGTAATGGTGAACCTGATTATGCACTATTAACAGACAGTGCAGTCATTTCCAGAGATCATAGCACAACCACACTCTTCTGAGCTAGTTTCTCTGTCTACAGCAGCCATATGTATTTAAATAAACCTCAAAGGGGGGTCGGGGGTAGAATTCTAAGTATTTAGAAAAGCCAGAAATTCAGTTTATAAACAACTGTTCAAAACCAAATGATTATGACGTCAATTAGCATTTCTAAAATCACTAGGTGAGTGGCATTTTGCTCATCATTTCTGTGAAACATTCCAAGCAAGCATCATTGTATGGTATTTATCATGATCGAAGGTAGGTTGGCATTCATTTGAAGTTCTGGTCATTCTCTCTTTTATGACACCACCCAGCACATCAGTTGGTTGTGAAAATGGACCTCCAGCACTCTCCTAGGTGTTGAAGACCTCTGTTGGCAAATCTCCACCTCCCCAACTCTCTTCGCATGAAAGCCCTCTTGTGACTGCTGGTGTCTTCAGATGGGCAGAGCAGCATGTGAGTGTGGGAGTGGGGGGCGGTGCATGGTAATGAATGACCCCAACACAATAGGGGAGGATTTAAATGAGTAAACATGCACACACGTACACACACCTACACATGCACACACTCCCACACACACTCACAAGCAGACCTTTGTAAAAAAGTGCTTGTTAGTTAATGGAGTGACTTTCATTTTATACTCACTCTATTGCTACAAAAATTACAATGGCTGTAACAGTGTTTAATGCAGTACTAATGTCCACCCTAAAGACGAATTTGTTGCATAGAACATATTCCAAGTAAGAGGCTGTGCCTTGTGCTGGCTGCTTCATTTTCAATATGGACGAGAACTGTCTCATGAGGCCAGTTGCAGGGAATTCCATGTGGGCATGATTCTCTCCTCAGCAAATATCTCTGGCAGAAGTGTTTTGTAGCAGAATTCTCAGGAGTTGCATGGGATTCTAAACATGAGTTCAGAGATGAAATCCAGATTTACGATCTCGTTTTCACCATGTTCTGCAAAAATGAATGCAACGCAACTGGCACAGCCTTTGAGCCCTGATATTGTCATTTGTATCCAAAATGCCTCAGCTTAATTCTAAGTTTCTTGAAAAACAGAGAGTAGGTATCCATCAGAAAATCTAATGATACCAGTGTCCCAAGATTGTTTTCTTTGCCTTATGAAGTGTTACCCTTATCAGCATCAGCATCAAATAATATTTATTAAGCCCCCTCACGGGCCTGGTGCCATGCAGGGTAATATTTCTCTCTGCAGTTACCTCATTTTGCTAGTTTTTCAAATGTACCTGCCCGATTTTGTTGTAAAATCAGTTTCTTTCTTGTTAACAAAATAGGTTATTTTTGCACTAATTAAAATCACAAGATAGTTGAGTTTGTTTGCAATTTTAGTGAAAGTGGTTCAAAAGCTCTAAAGGGCTGGGGTGTTAAGTGTCACTGCAGCAAAGATGAACATACCACAGGGTTCCTTAGTCATCAACCGTGGACTCATTTGGAAAACGAGGATGAATCTGGGCATTCACAGCAGATGACACTTCCATTATCAGGACATAAATAAGCACTATGAATATGCATGGTACTTAGAAACAGGCATTTAATTTCCACAAAGACAGTCATTCTCCTTGATATGAGTTAGCTGCCTTTTGTAATTGTTCATTCTGCATTCTTTTTCTTCTAAAGTTTCCCCAGATAGTGGGAGCAGGGGGTGGGGGAAGAAAAATAAAACTACTAAAACAGATAAAATGTTAATTGTAAATTATGGAAATAGATGTTTAAGTTTAGGATATTAACAGCTTCCCCCAACTTGCACTCCATTTGGAATCTGGAAATGTATTAGGTATTTCAACCCAAGGTGTATATCCAGATGATCTTTAAATATTAATGCAGGCCCCCAGGGCATGTGCCATTATAGCCAGGAAGTAGACATAAAGTAAAACTAAATATGTGCAATTACTTTTTCATAGTTATGAATTGTCTGACATTCTGTGAGCACTTCATGTACATTGCCTTGTTTATTTATTACATAACCCAATATGGGAGATAATTTTAGCACCCACCGGCTTAGAAAGTTGGCAAATTTATCCAAGATCACACCACCCTTGAAACCAGATTTAGCTCATTAAAAAAACTCACACACTTGGCCACTCCAGTGAACTGTCTCCATGGTCAGGGTTCTCAACTTGGGTTCTAAAGAACACAGGTATTTCCCAAACCCTGCACAACAGGGCTATCAAATTTTGTCTGTAGGCAGAGTTTATTTTTGCAAGAAGTGAGGCTGCATCAGCTAAGAGTGATATGAGTCTGACTGACTGGTGAGCTGAGCTGATCCTACATGCCGGGGCAGAGTGGAGTAGAATTCACTTCAGTGAGATTGAAGAGGCAGAGAATGCTGTCAGGCCAGCACCCCAGAATATTGTGTATTTACAGAAACATGGAGAACAAGGTCTCCAGCTTATAAGAGACCATGGTCAAGGGAATTAATAGTTTTCTTCAAGTAATGCCTTGGTTTTGCAGGGCAACTAAAGGAAAGGTAGAATACTCTGTGTGCAATTTAATCCCCACAAGAGTGCTTCCAAGGTTCACAACTCTCAAAAGTGTGTCCAGGGCTCACACAAAAAGTTGAAAGCCACCGTCCTGACTGCAGCCTGTTTGAGCATTGGAGCCAGGAGACTTGCCCGGTGCTGGCTCTCTCGACATCACCTTTTCCAGCTATTGCACACGACCATTATTTTACGTGTGTGCAAAATCCCACGGCTGTTTTCATAAAAAGAGGGAAGTGGGATCAGAACATGCCTGAAACACTTAGAATTCTCCTGCAAGTGACCACCCAGATACGATTTGGGGAGCTCACTCCTCTCCATCTGTGGGTTTGTAGATCCAGCTTGTGGCTCAGACCCGACTATGAATGCAACAGTGGATTCTGGAGAGATGCATCTTTTGTCCATGCCATTTCATGATCTTAAGACTGAGCAGGAGCTCCTGGAAAGGATGTGTGGGATTTCTAGGGGCCTGGAATTTTGACATCCTAAGGAGGAGTGCTAGAAGCTCAGGGATGGGTTGAGGGAGGTTCCAGTGGGTCTCAGAAGCTTCCTGTGCTTATACTCACCATTTAGCAAGGTTTCTCTTTAATAGAATTGTCTTAGCTACAGGCTTTTCCTTTCTTGCCTCCTCTCTGTCAGTTTCTCTCCATGTTTCCCTCCCTTTTCTCCCTCCCATCCTCTCTCTGACTCTGCTTCTGTCTCTCTCTCAACTGCTGGAAACACAGCCTCGTACTTCAGGTGCCCCCCAAAAACTCGCTAGCATCCCAGTATGCCAATTCTGAATTCCAGGAAAGGAGCCGCGGAGGCTGGCAGCTGGCTCGGCTGCACCTGTGGAACCACACTCAGGAAAGGACAGTGAGTCCAACAAACCAGTCCTCTTTTCATCTCTCACAGTATTTGAGACTCTTTCCTCATTTGTCAAATGGGGGTGATCGTATCTGGCTTTGATTTGCCCAACTATCTCACAGTTGCTGAACTTATAATATGTGTTGAGTTCTAGAGAAATATCTTACTTGTGTTCTTTTATATAGTCTTTGGAAAAGCTCGATGAAATAAATATTATTATCTCCAATACATTTGTGAGTAATGTAAAGCAGGATTTTTTTAAAACTCAAAGTTGGCTGAGTGCAGTGGCTCATGCCTGTAATCCCAGCACTTTGGGAGACCAAGATAGTAGGATTGCTTGAACCCAAGAATTTGAAACCAGACTGGGTAACAAAGTGAGACCCCATCTCTACAAAAAATAAAAAATTAGCTAGGTGCAGTTGCATGTGCCTAGGTGGGAGGCTGGAGCAGGAGGGTCACTTGAGCCCAGGAGTTCGAGGTTGCGTGAGCTAAGATCATGCCACTGCACTCCAGCTTGGGCAACAGAGTGAGACTGTATCTCAAGCAAAACAAAACAAAACAACAAGTAAAGCTGAAAGTCATCTATGTAGTAAGTGGCAAAGCTGGGCTCAGATGCAGATCATTCTGAAGTGCAAAGCCCATGTTTTCAACCATTACACTATAGAATAGAACAAAGCATTTAAAACTTTGCACAGCCTTGTGCAAGCAATAGTGATTTTGTACAACTAGGAAGACTCTATGGAGTGTGGATTTAAGTTAGAGGTAAAACCCAGAATTTGGAGGAGGTAGAGTGGCCTCCTAGCAGAAGAAAATCACATGGTTAATTGGTTTTCGAAGCCCTTGGGTTCACATGCATCGAGTGCCCACCCTGGTCGTCTCCAGGAGAATGAACGCAGGGCTTCATTTCACATTCGTCGGGTGTCTCTGCTGTGTGTAGCTCTGATGTTGGTTTCCTCCTGTTGAACTTACTTTCTTTGTTATGACGGAATTAGCAAGAATTAAAGGGAGGGGGTGTTGAAGATCTTTAGCACCTACTTGTAACTTTCTTCCTGACATAATTCTAAGACTGGAAAATATCAGCCAGAGCACTATGGAGAAAAAAAAAAGTGTTATTTTCTACAACATTGTATGTGAAGACAAATACCTCATGATTTCATCTGTTGCAGAAATCTCAAAAGCTTATCACAGCAAATGAGAAAGCCATTCTGGTCTTTATTTATAAACTCCAGTGGGTTTATCTCTCCTTCCTGAACATTAAAATCTGAAAGGCAGTTTGCGTCTTAACCAAGCAGCTCTGTCTGGGCATCATCAGCAGAAATTTGCACAGGGGAAAAAGTGGTCTCACCTTCATCAGCCCATGGGCCCCGTCCAGCCACTGTTGGTGACGGCATCCTCTGTGTAAAATAGCTATGTCCATTTAAAACAAAACAACAGCAACAGGTTTCTGTTTTCTTCAAGTAGCTGCAAAAATCACTTAGGGAAAGCAAAAATCACTTAGGGAAAACAAAAAACATCTTATCCGGTTCGGCAATGAAGAGGATCAGCGTGTGATCCTTCATTGTGATCCAATGAAGAGGATAACCTCCGTTTTCAGCATGAGCCACGGAAGCAGAAGTGACTTTGATTTCTCCCTGTGGTTGGGGTCTCACTTCTCATCTCCACCGGTCTATTGCTCAGTATTATGCTAATGAGCGCTCCTATAACTGCACTTACATCACAGCTGAGTAGATTCCGACAGGACTTGCTTTGCTGGCTCAGCAGCTGCTCCTGGGATGCCTCCTTGTGGATTATTTTCCAGCGTGGCTGCCCCAGCCTTGTCCACCATGACACTCTTCCAGGCCTCATGACGAGCGAGTTTCTGCCTGCTTCTCACACTGCCTCATATGTAATGGTGTATTAAAAATCTTGGCATCTTTTATCGAATGCTTGATCTATGTGTCAGATTTCTCTGCTTGCTTTATGCAGGTGTTGGGAGCATTGCCATTCTTCTTTGATACCTTTTTTTTTTTAGAATTTCAATGCAAAGACTTGGGATCTTTTCAAAAGTTTCATGCAAAGTTTGGGTATTTGGTGTAAGCCAGAAATAAAATTCTAAAGCCCCAGTTGGCTGAA